TCACAGTTCCAACATCCTTTATTGTACGTGTTTGCATGGGCAGGCTGTTGCTTCCTCAGGTTCCAAGAAGATTATACATCACCAAGTCAAGGCAAATGGCAACAGAAATAGAAGACCGCTCAGCTCAGACGCCTTAAAGTGACTAATGATACTTTCACAATGCAAATTTTGAGATTACTTTTTAAGGGCCTCTTTGGAAATCGTTTCCATTTGCAAACTAAAAACACCAACAAGCAAAACCCTCTGACCGTTAGATACCCTGAGTAGTTGCAAATCGTGCTTGAGTTCAGAAGTGTGCAGAATTCTGCTCATTAATTTCAGTCCAATGGTCAAGATGATCATCTAAATAAAGCATTTATCAAATGTTAGGGCCGTTTATCTGACTTTATTTTGTAATGCAGCCAGACGCCATTTAAAAACATAGGCTGAGCTGTCAGAATGGAGGGGCCGAGGAGGGTTTTGGATGAGAATTAAAGGGCACTGCAAATGAACACAGATTCCTTCAGGAGGATATCTGCCCCTATGTTCCCCAGGCACGGAGAGGACACAGACGATTTCTCACTTACTCAAGAGGAACAGATCCTTATGCCCTTCCTGTTCACTAAGGTATTTCTCAGCACCTAGAAGACTGGCGGTTCAAACCCACCAGCCACTCTTCAGAAGGAAGGTTGGGCAGTCTACGTCTATAGTGATACTGCCTCAGAAACCCAGGGAGGGGTCGTTATGAGTCGGGTCCCACTCGACGGCAGTGAGTTTGGTTTTTGTTGGCTAGCACAGTACGGGTTACACCTCAACATAAAGAAAACAGAAATCCTCACAACTGGACCTATAAACAATATCATGAGAAATGGAGGAAAGATTGAAGCTGTCAAAGACTTCATATTGCTTGGTTCCCCAATGAGCACCAATGGAAGCAGCAGTCAAGACATCAGATGACGTACAGTACTGGGCCAATCTGCTGCAAAAGACCTTTTTAAAGTGCTCAAGAGCGAAGATGCCTCTTTGAAGACTAAGATGTGCCTAACTCAAGCCATGGTATTTTCAATTGCTTCACATGCATGTGAAAGCTAGACAATGAATAAGGAAGAGTGAAGAAGAGTTGATGCTTTTCAATTGTGGTGTTGGTGAAGAATACTGAAAGTCCCATGGACTGCTAGAAGAAGAAACAAATGTGTTCCGGAAGAAGTGCAGCCAGAATGCTCCTTGGAAGCAAGAATGGCCAGACTTCGTGTCATCTGCTTTGGTCATGTTGTCAGAAGAGACCATTCCTTGGAGGAGGACATCACGCTTGGTGAAGTGGAAGGTCAATGAAAAACTGAAGGCCATCAATGAGATGGACTGACACAGCAGCTACAATGATGGGCTCAGGTACAGCAAGGACTGTGAAGTTGGCACAGGACTGGGCAGTGTTTCCTCCTGCTGTACACAAGGTCGTTATGAGTTGGAGCTGACTCGATGGCACCTAACCCCAGCAGCAGCAGCACAGGTCCTGGCACAAGGTAAGCATGTAAATAAATGAGATGAGCAGATGATGATGCAGAGGCAAGAATGGGCTTTCACAAAATGAGATTCTGTCCTGTGTTTACGCACCCATGTTTCAAGAGGAATCCTGAAAGAACACAGGTGCTTGCTTCATTCATTCATTCATTCACTCATCCAATCACTGTGTGGTACAGGCTGTCAAGTACCTCATCAGGCAGAGTGGTACAAACGGTTAAGCACTCAGCTAGTAGCAGAAAGGTTGACAGTTTGAACCTCCCCAGAGGTACCTTGGAGGAAGCCCTGGTTATCTGCTTCCAAAAGGTCACAGCCATTGAAAACCCTATGAAGCAGAGCTCTACTGTGATACCCATGCGGTGACCATGAACAGGAACCGACTTGTTGGCACTTGGTGGTCCTTATGTTTGGCTATGGGTGGTGAGGTGAGACAAGGATCCGAGGTCCTTGCCTTCATGAGGAAGATGATCTGGTGAGGTTTCAGTGAAAACCAGTGGAAGAGCTGGTGATAGAAAATGCACCAAGTCCCCAGGTGAAATCCAATGTCCATCATCAGTGGGCTTATGGGAAGGGCTGGGCAAGAAATGGGCTGCAGCTCCTGTCCTGGCTGGGGAGCTGGGGATTGCACAGTGAAGCTTACCCAACATCAGCACCAGTGAGGTGCGACTCACAGAACGAGGTGAACGTGTCATGTACACCTGGAGGAGCCTTTTTCCATCTCTGTTACACGTGAACAAAGACAAGATGCAAAGCTGTCACCCAGAGTTGATGGAAGTGGACCTAGATTATCAGCAATTCTAGGAAGTGTGACAAATGGTAGCAGTGTGCTTGAACAATGCTTTGCCATTTGCAAAAGAAACGGAGGTGACAGGACAGCAGTGCAGGGGCCATTATTATTGTCACTGATGACCATTAAAGGGGCTTGGGGAGAAAATGTCTCCCGCCAGGCCACACAGCTGCCGCAGGAGGGACTGGCATCCCAAGGAGCACCCCAGAGAGCAAGCTACATGTGAAGGTGTTCAATGAACTTAAACACTACAGAAGGTCAAGGTTGGAAAGAACCTTGCAGTGGGCTGGACAGTGTCTCCTGGAAGTACATGGCTACCTAGAAACTGTGAAGGTAACTGTATTTGCAAACAGGCTCTTTGCAGGTATCGTCAGGTTAAGATAAGGTCCTACTGGATTAGGGTGGGCCCCGATCCATTGACTACTATTCATGTAAGGAGAGAAATGTGGAAACAGTGCGACTCAGACATACACAGAGGGGACACACCATGTGATGACAGAGGCAGGAAATCAGGGTGACGCAGCTACAAGTCAAAGAACACCAAGACACCGGAAGCTGGAAGAGGCAGGAAAGGCGTCCCCCCCGGAACCTCCAGTGGGAGCCCAGCTCCTTTGAGAATCCTGTGAGAATGAGTGCCTGTGGTTTTCAGACATTCTGTTTGTAGGCACTTGTTACAACAGCCACAGGAAATAAATACAGACCTTAAGGATATCACCCTTCCTGGTAACTTACTCCCTTCTGTGACACCTGAGCAAGGGCAGTCTCAATGGGGAACTCACTACCTCATCTTACAATTTATTGCTGCACCAATCATGGAGCTGACTCCATGGCAACAAGAAACAACAAACATATACTTAAACATATGATGTGCTCTGCATATTTTGACACAAGCCATCCTCACCAACAACCCTCTAAGGTAGGTTCTATTGTTCCCATTTTACAGATGAAAAATTGGGGCACAGAGAGGCCAAGTAATTCATCCGGGTCAAAACCCCAATAGAAGTTGGGGCCAAGATTCTAAGCCCAGATCCGAGCTTGAAGTCTTAAGTACATGGAAACCCTGTCTCCAAAGGCAGGGATTCTCCAGCGTGCTGACCACTTGCATCGTCTGTGACTTTTTTTTTTTTTTTCCATTAAATGTGGAGCATTACCATTGTAATGTATCCTACCAGATGAAACGAAACCCACTGCCAGTTAGGAGATTCCTACTCACAGCACCCCTAGAAGACAGAGCACAACTGCTCCACAGAGTTTCCAAAGCTGTCATCTTCACGGAAGAAGACTGCCTCATCTTTCTCTCACAGAGTGCTGGTGGGTTTGAAACAATGACTTCTGGTCAGCAGTCAAATGCATTAAGCACTGTGCCACCAGAGCTCCTTCCTACAGCAGGAGCAATAGACAAGGCTGCGCCTAAACTCAGGGACATTTCTTCCCCTGCAGGGGGGCCAGCGCTGCCTGGGTCAGCAGTGACCTCTGGAAACCCCGTGCACTCATTTTCATTGGTTCCCGATTTTGGTTAAATTGTGTTTCTCTTTGGGGGCCGTTTATGAGCTGTGGCTAGAAACGCTGAATTCAGTCCCCATACTCAAATGCTTCGTAGTTTAACAAACGCCCAAATGAAAATATTATCAACTTGATACACATTTGCCCCCAAAATAAACTTAACATTTAAATGATCTAACATGTTACCACATTGGTTTGTAAACAGAGAGAAAACATTTTATTTTCTATTCATAAAAAACAGATGCATATGTAGAGAAATCAAGATACTTCATCTTTCTCTTGTAAGAACTTGCAAATCCTTCTGGGGGAGAATGAGAGGTTACAGGATGCTGTGTGTATATGTGTGTGTGTGTGTGTGTGTGTACACATATGCATGTGCACAGATGTTCTGGGCAGGGAGCAAAGAGACGATCAGAAAGCCATTACTTGCCTCAAGGGAAGATAATACGGCAGCCTTACAAATGGACAGTTGGGAGGAGAACGAGTGACAAGACAAAGGACCTGGATTCGGTCCCTTCTCTGTCTACTTTCTTGTATTTTCCAGGTGACAACCACAGTTACAACACAAATTCCATCCTTTCCCCTGCATTGAATTCCCAGTTCTTGCTACGGTCTCCCTTTTCAAGTGAAAATCTTAGTGTGATTACCAGCTCATTCCTGCCTTGGCCTCCAGGCCAACCAACCCCTCCTGAGGCTCTCCAGGAGGGCCAGAGGCTGTGCCAAGTGTGGGAACGTAGCAGGCCCCACCCCCAGGCCGCCCAGGCCAGAGCAGCACTGCCAGGCACCGCTTCCGGAACGCCGGGGTCGCTGTGCAGCTGTGGGGCCCAATACAGATGTCAGGAGCACTCACAACGTGGTCTGAGTTCTGAGCCCCTCCTGCCCTTCCGGCCTCCTCCATCCTCGTCTGGCAGAAAGGTAGGGGAAGGGCAGTGGAAACCGCGTTCTCGAGGGCTTCCCGAGGAAGGAGGGAGACAGAGGCGTCAGCTTAAACGAATGCACGTAATTTCAGATGGCACGGCCTGCTGCAGTCGCTGCTCTTTCGGGGTCACATTTGGCCCCATTTCTCCTTGTAGCCTTTCCCGCCCAGCCACGTGCAAACCTCCCCTTCCCACCCTCACAACACGAAGAGCCTCTGACTCAGGGTCTTGTCTTCGCTTCTGAGCGAACCACATTCCATGCCCGCGCAAGAGAAAACGTATTGCTCTCAGCTCACCTCCCGGTCCAGCAGCGCAGGTGACACGACGGTGACAATGTCGCCTTTCTCAGGATCGATGTAGAACATGTTGGGCGACGGCTTGTCAGGCGTCTGCTGACGGATATTGTACCGCAGCAGGGCATTGTCGGTGGCGGGGTCGTCCGCGTCAAAGGCTGTCATCCGCATCACCGTGGTCCCTGAGGGGGCAGGACGGAAAGGCAGCAGAGGTTACCGGTCACCGTGGCTGACACTGAGGGGCAGGACCCTTCCCCACCAGGCAGTAGCAGTGGAGTAACACGCCAATCACTGTCCAAATTAAAATGGGAAAGAGTTTCCTGAGCTCGGCTGTGCTTTAGCCTTTTTCCTGCCATTCCATCACATTAAAAGACCTGAAATAAAGAAATCTTTGCTGCTCAGCAGAGTGACAGCTTAGCTTACATTTTCCTTGTGTGGAAACATTGTTTGGTTTCCTGGGCTTTCATTCCAGGGTGGATTGGCTTTGTGACAATGGCTGTTTTCATTTTAAGTGTTTACTGGATGCCTACTGTGTGTGCGATCCCGGGCCAGTTGTTGAGGGAAAAGAGGTGCAAAAAGGCACATTTCTGATGTCTGGGAACTCAGAGATTAGTAGGAGAGATAGATACACCCATCTACCCAAGCATGCATGCATGCATCCATCCATCCATGCATCCACCCACCCACCCACCCATCCATCCATCCATCCATCCACCCGTCCATCCATCCATAGAGTACGTAATATTAAAAAGCACAAACAACAGAAGACATAGAACTTTGGCAAAATTAGTAACTTTGTGCATCAAAGGACTTTACCCAGAAGGTGAAGATACAACCTACAGAATGGGAGAAGATATCTGGCATCATATAACTGATGAGGGTTTACTGCTTAGAATATATAAAGAATTCCTACAACTGTATGGCCAAAAGCCCAATTTAAAAATGGGCAAAGAACATGAACAGACATTTCTCCAAAGATGACATAGAAATACCCAATAAGCACATGAAAAGACACTCAACATCACTGGCCACTAGAGAAACGCAAATCAAAACCACCGTGAGATACCACATCACCCTCACCAGGATGGCTGTTATTGAAAAAGCAAAAAAAGAAAAGTACTGTGAAAATGTAGAAAAATGCCTAGCGCCTTGCTGGTAGGAACATACAGTGATGCAGACACTGTGGGAAACAGTTCATGGCCCCTCAAAAACTTAAACATGTAATTATCATATGACCCAGTGGTTCTACTTCTATTTACCCAAAATAATTGAAAGCAGGCACTCAAATAGAGACATGTACACCAATGTTCACTGCAGCATTCTTCAGAATCAACAGAAGGTGGAAGCAAACTAAGTGTCCATCAAGAGATGAACGGATACACCAAATGTAGCATGATCCTACAGTGCATGTAACTCACCCACAGAGGAAGACAATGCTCCAATACACCTTACAACATGGGTGCACTCTGACAACACTGTGTCGAGTGAGGGAAGTCAGATATAAAACGAAGATATGGTGTGGCCCCATGTACATGAAATATGGAGAAAAGGCTGATGCAGAGAGAAAAAGGTTTAGGAGTGTTTACCAATGGCGTGGCGGAAGGGTACATGGAGAGTTACTGATTAAGGGGTATTGAGTTTCTGTTTGCGGTGATGAAAACCTTTTGGAAATAGATAGTTGGTGATATTTGCACAAGGTGAAAACAATTAATGTCACTTAACTGTACCTTTAAAAATGGTTAAAGCAGCAAATGTATTGTTCCATATATCTATCTATCTATAGATAGATAGATATAGATATAGATATATAGATATCCATATATATATAAGTATATATGTACACACACACACACACACACATAAAACAAAAATAAAATTGACAAAATAAAAACCCATACTTATAATTACCAAGAGAAACATGTCCTAGAGCAGAATCAGGCAAAGTCACCTCTGGTGTTGACAACTGGGTGGTTGCTGTAATGGTCACCGTACGTTTCCGTCAGTTTCCTCTTCCACGTAACAGGGCCCAGCCTCGTGCCCCCATGAAACGCGAGCGTCACGACAATGTTGCCGAGTTGGTTCTGACTCACAGCAGCCCTCTGTGGGACGGAGGAAAGCAGAGCCCCGCCGTGTGCTGTCCTCCTGACCGGTGCAGTGTTTGAGCCCACTGCCGCTGCCACTGGGTCACTCCCTCTCACCGAGGGTCTTCCTCTCTTGCTGATCCTCCACCTCACCAAGTATGATGCCCTTTTCCAGGGCCTGGTCCCTCCTGATAACTGGACCAAAGCATGAGAAGTGAAGTCTTGTCATCCTCCCTTCTAAGGAGCCTTCTGGCTGTATTTCTTCCAAGACAGATTTACTTGTTCTCCTGGAAGTCAGTAGCACATTCATAGTATCAGTCAATAGTATTATTTGCCAACACCATAATTCAAAGGCATGAATTCTTCTTTGCTCTTTCTTGCTCATAGTCCAGTTTTCACATGCATATGAAGTGACTGGAAATACCATGGCCTGGGTCAGGGGCATCTTAGTCCTAAAAATGACATCTTTGCATTTAAACTCTTTCGAGGTCTTTTGCAGATCTGCCCAGTGCAATATGTTGTTTGATTTCTTGACTGCTACTTCCACGGGCACTGATTGTGAATCCAAGTAAAATGAAATCTTTGCCTAATTCAATCTTTTTGCCATTAATCACGGATCATCATGTTGCCTATTGGTCCAGTTGTGAGGATTTTTGCATTCTTGATGTTTAGGTGTAATCCATACCGAAGGCTGGAGTCTTTGATCTTCCTCAACAAGTGCTTCAAGGCCTCTTCACTTTCAGCATGTCATCTGCATATTGCAGGTTGTTAATGAGCCTTTCTCTAAACCTGATGCCTTGTTTCCCTTTACATAGTCCATTATATATCGGATTATTTGCTCAGCATTTGAATTAAGTAAGTATGGTGAAAAGATATAACCCTGACACGTACTTTTCCTCATTTTAAACTATGCAATATACTCTTGTTCTCTTAGAATGAATGCCACTTGGTCTACGTACAGGTACTTCATGAGCACAACTACGTGTTCTGGAATTCCCATTTTTTGCAATGTTATCCATAACTTGTTATGATACACACAGTCGAATGATACACACACAGTCAATAAAATTCAGGTCAACACCTTTCTGATATTACTTGCTTTCAGCCAAGCTCCGTCTGACATGATGTCTTTCATTCTACACCCTCTTCTGAATCTAGTTTGAAAGTCTGGCAGTTCCCTGTTGATGTACTATTACAACTATTTTTTGATTTATCTTCAGGAAAATTTTACTTGCATGATATATTAATATTTGATAATTTTTGCATCCTGTTGGGTCACCTTCTTTGGGAATGGGCACAAATACAGATCTCTTCCAGTCGGTTGGCCAGGTAACTGTTTTCTAAATTTTTTTCTTTCTTTTTTAACTATTTATAAAATTCTTATTTGGGGAAGTCTGATTACATAAAACATTTAAAAATTTTTCTGGGTACACATTATGCTTTTCTTGAATTTGCTTTTGTTTTTCTTTTCCTTTATTTAAAATTGTTATTATGATTTAGGTGATAGTTTACAGAGCAAATTCACTTTCCATATAGCAGTTCACACACACTCTGTCTCATGGCATTGACCACAATTTCCCACAATGCAACAGCTCTCTTGCCACGTCCTCCCCATAGTTACCTCTTCCCTGTGTCCTTCCTTCCTGCCCCCTGAGCTGTCTCCCTGTGCATACACAGCCCTTCTATTCTCCCATAATTGATCTCTCTAAGGAGTTTATCTATCTAATGTAAATGTTTAGCTCATATGCCTGTCTTTTGTTTGGCTGGAAGCCCCAGGAGTGAGTTCAATTCCATACCTGAAGGGCAGCTAGTGGCCATAGACTCAGGGGTTTCACTAGAACATATCAGACCAGCAAACCTGGTCCCCACCCTCACCTTTTTTTTTTATTTATTTTTTTATTGATTTTGCGTTTTGTTCCACATTATTCTCCCACCCTATCCAGGATCTCCTACATAGATCCCTCCCTGCGTGGTTGACAGTGGTAGCCAGGTACCATCTAGTTCTTCTGGTTCATGTCTCAAAATTTCTTGGCATAGACTGTCAAGTGCTTCCAGCATTGCATCCATTTGTTGAACTCAATGGATATTTTGTCATTCCTGGAGCCTTGGTTTTCACCATATCCTTCAGTGCAGCTTGACTTCTTCCTTCAATACCATCAGTTCTTGATCATTTGCTGCTTCCATCATGGTAACAGATCACCACAGTAGGAACTAGATCACTAGCCATTAGGCCTGATTGGTCAGATAAACAAGGGGGCTCTGGTGACCACCAAGTTGGCTTGATTTGTTAAGTACCTTCAGTTAACTCTGTGGAGCAATACTAGAGACTCAGGGTGAATTTTCAAACAGTGGTGCAGGCAGCACCAGGGAAGGGAACACTGATTTGCCCTTCTGGCCTAGTAAACAAGTCAACTTGAAGATCCGTTGGAAATCAGAGGCAGCTCCAAGCTGATGATCTCACAAAGGAATGTGCTCAGTGGGCACATGTAACCAGAGACATAGATGGATGGCCTGCCTCCAGCAGTTCCACACCAAACAGCTTCAGGGTACATGGACATGACCGAGTGCCTTCAGCTTAGTGGGTGTCTAATTAATGTCGGATTGAGTGAATACATACTGTTTTTAATTCACCTTTAATTGATGCCAGGAGTTTCCCGAGTGGCACAGTTTGCTCTCAGCAATAACTGAAAGGCTGGTGGCTTGAATACACTCAGTAACCCCGCCAAAGCAAGTCCGTGATCTGCTTCTGTAAAGATTATCGCCGAGGAAAATGCTATGGAGCTCACTTCCATTCTGTTACATGGGGTCGTCACGAGTGAGAACAGATTCAATGGCAACAGGTTTTTGGTTGGGTTTAACTGATGTCACAGATCAAGAAGAAAAAGAAAGGAAAGATAAAATTAAGCATGGCTTGTGACTGCCATATGTATTGAAATGATTACAAAGGAAAAGAGTAACTCTCAGGTTGATGAGTTTTCAGTTTTCACCAATAAATTCATGGAGAAGATTTTTTTTCCCCCATAGATTTACTAGTATAATATAATGACAGGATATCCTGAAATATTCTCAAGGTTACACAGATATTTCTTTTTTTGTACAAT